AGCAAATTTACACTGAAATAAATTAATAATTCCATTTCCAGTGATGTGCCATTGTAGATAAAGATGATAAGAAGTCTCATCTCCTTTTAAATAAGGAAATGTTGAAAGAATGCAAAGATTTACCAAAAAGCATCATTTCCCACCCTCATCATCTTTTACTACCTGCCATACTTTTAAAAGTAGAGGCTGTAGTCTCTGTCGTGCAGAAACATGGCTTTAAATTAAATAAGCACTAATCTTCAATGTAATGTTCATTCTGAAATGATTGTTAAACATCTATAATGTACAAGCTTTGTGACTAAGATACGGTTCCCTGCTTAGAAGAAGTTATAGTCTATTAAGAGATGCATTCACATAAAAATTGCACTTAATTTTAAAAGATATTAACTACATATACTATTTTAACAGAAATTAATCCTAATAGAGTCCTAATAGAGTATATATCAAATTAAACTTGAAAAAAATACAGAAAGCAAAGGTACAAATACATTTCTAATCTAGGATATATGATCTCTCTCGCTAGCGCACACACACACACACACACACACACACACGTTCTCCACCTACTTCTGGGGTAAGTGAACAGTTTGGTTAACTGTTCGTTAACAGTTTAGTTAACGGCATGTTGGAAGGCTAGTTAGGAAGACTAGTGTAGCTACCAAAGGTTTCACTAGAGAACTGGGGTAGAACATCCTCAGTGCAAAACATTCTGATGTCATGATTCTAAGACACTAACAAAATGAAAACCAGAAGAAAATGCACAAAATGAACTTCATGTTTTAAACAAAACAAAGAAAAGCATTTTTCCCAAGTGCCTAGAGATTCAACGGCAGTGGTTCTCAAAATGCTATCTGCATAGCCGCAGCTCCAGGGTTATGCAGACACAGGTAAGGGCTGCTAACTCACAGGTAAGGGATGCTAACTCATAGGTAAAGGATGCTAACTCACAGGTAAGGTATGCTAACTCACAGGTAAGGGACTCACAGGTAAGGGATGCTAACTCACAGGTAAGGGAC